CCCGCCCCCCCCCCCCCCCCCCCACCATAAACAAGCAGTGTCTCGCACCAGGCTGTGTGTCCAGGCACACATGCGTCACCTCCAACAGCCAGCGGATCCCTGTGGGGTGCAGGGAAGGGCTGGGCAGCAGGCGGTGGGGCACAGAGAGGGCTCGGAAAGGAGGCTGCGGATGGGAGCAGGGGGAAGGGACACCCCAGGAGTCCCTGCGCCACCCCAGGTATGGAGCCCATCCTCACACCACTGTGCCTGGCCCCACCGCACCCAGGAACGCGCCCCAGCCTCTCGTGCACTGCCACAATGGGCTCAGCCGAAGCCATGAGCAGAAAGGGACCAGGAAGACTCATGAGGTGTCACCCCCAGGAGGGTGAAGCCACCAAAGAGGCCTTGCTCCCCGCCTCCACCAGGCGTTTGCCCATCACCTGTGAAGACGGTGAGCTCCCCTCTGCGGTGCCCTTTGAGGAGCTTGTTGAGCTCAGGGAAGCGCGCCCACTTGACGCCGGCCACCTGCTCGGTGTTGACCAGCTCCCCGAACACCTCCTCGCGCAGCTGCCGGAAGGAGACGATGGATTTGTGGCTGGCAGGCAAGGCGGCACGCAGGATCTTGGTGAGGTTCAGGCCCTGGTTCAGAGCTGCCAAGGGCCGGGGCTGCAGGTCGCCGGGGCGCACCAGGGAGCAACGCTTGAGACTCAGCTTGCGAGCGAAGAGCTTGGCGGCTTCCCAGGAGCGCAGGTCCTCGCCCAGCCATAGCGTGATGCGCTTGAACTGCTCCAGGTAGGGCAGAAGGGCAGGGGGCAGGCAGGTGGCCCCCCGTGGCAGGGCCAGGCTGGCCACCCCCGTAGCTTTGGCTGTGTGCAGGGCCGGGCCGTCCAGCTCCCACCCAGTTAAGACCAGCTCTGTGTCTCGGCGGCCAATCAGGGGCAGCCCAAAGAGATTGCGATAGGAATCGAAGCGGGGTAAAGTCTCTTCCGCGTAAGCTACCGCGTCCCCCTTCTTCTCCACCCTCACCAACTTCAGGCCTTTCAGGGTCGCATCACGGGGGCTGAACCAGGGGAAGACAAGGGACTTAGCAGTCCTCAGATAACGCACCCCAAAGCGTTTCAGGGTGGCATCCGTCACCAGGGAGATGCCGAACATGGCCTTAGTCTTGTTGGTCTCATCCTCGTCCAGCAGCTCCCAGAGCGGCAGCGCCCGGTCCCAGATGCAGCGGGCATCCTCACGAGCCCGTCGCGTGTCCTCCTCCGGCTCCTCCGAGCTGGCGGGGGGAACGCCGCGGTGCCGCAGCTCCACGTTGGCCTGGAAGTCCTGCCATGTGCCCTCGGCCAGGGTGGCCGTGCACAGGAAGCTGCCCGTCATCTTGTCAATGAAAAGTGTGTAAGGGGCGTTGGCGGCAGGCGGCTGGTCCTCCCGGCCGTCGGTGAAGAGGCTGGGGGTGTGCAGGCAGCTGTACCCATCGTGGAAGGGGATGCCCTGGGCCCGCAGGTACTGACGG